GTTGTATACGTCGACTCTTCACGGGCAGAAATTCCACAGAGGGCGGAAATTTATGCGGGGCGGATCAATGGTACTTTACAGCACTTCTTTCTACTGCAGCAGCTCATGAGACAAATGTTATTTCCACACCTCAGTACTGTTGTGCAGTCAGCGACAGTGTCGAAATGATCAAAGGTTAGCAGAGCCCCGATCTTGATGGCCATTTGAAGCATACGGGGTCTGGCCCGGTTCGGACCCTCAATTTACTAGGGAGTTATGTTTAAGACATTTCTTATTTGTACTGTGTATTTCTTGCTCGTTTTGGATGTCAGTCTTATGTAAATCTTCTCGATTGTTTTAATCCTTTGGTGTGTAGACCTGTGTAGACCTGTCAGCATTATTCTAAGTTGGTTCTTTGTACATGCATTTGGATGTTTTATTGTTTCTGTTTTCCGTTTGTTCTTTCCTTTTTTTCCGTCTTTTCTTTTTCTTCTCCCAACTCCTGCCCGTGGCGGCCTTCCCTCAACTCGTCAGCTGACAAAACAGTCACTGTCATCACCATGACACTGTCGTGAGAAGGTGATCGCTGTAGACGAGGTTGGTGATGTCCCGGCGCGGGCCCTGGTAAATTGAGGGTCCCAACAGGGCTAGACTCCATACGGTTAAAGTGGTCGCAAGACCGGGGCTCTGCCAACCGATGATGGTTGTAATCAGGAGCACTGTTTTCAATACAGTGCGTCCTCCGCCTTGTAACATACTGTCAGCCGATCAACACGTCGATCTAACAAACGAGGTTTACATAATATCTGTACCGTATTGTACGAAACATGCCCCGACCTGTGACTGCACACAGCTCGGATTCGAGACAGGGAACAATCCACTAGAAATACTTTGTATTTCATGTCACAATGGTCCCCGTTGTCATGGGAACAGTCAACCATGAGTGCGTACGCGTGGGCTGTGTTTTGCTGTACAGCGGACATTGCTCACTGAGACAGTGCTTGTGCTCAAAGCGGAATGTTACGTGCCATAGCTACTGGATGCAGAACCACTTCCAGATCAGAGCGACATGAACTGAAGTTACCAGCTTGGGAGCCATCCCCGACCATACACCACCGCTTCCAGAGCGTCTACTTTAGACTCTACGTGGCTGTAGCTGGAAGTGCAGGACGGTGACAGCAACCTTGTTCATGTGCATGGCTGCATAGCCGCCTGGGAGTACACGCACGGGCAATACTGGCTTCAATGCACCCTCGCGGCTGTACCATTTGGGCTTGCATCAGCCGGTATTGCCGTGTTCATGTACTCAAACTACGTACAGAACTGTTTCGTCCTTTGTGGACTCATCAGCGCAGCACAGAGAAATCAGGCTCAACCTGTTTGTGTGCATGGATGTAAGTATTTGCAAGCACACTATATTACCAAAGTACCATAACTACATGCAAGAGTACATAACCCCAAGAGTGTACAACTGCCTGCATAACTTCTATACAGTACTGCGACGGCAAAACTTCACATCACGTGACATGGTTCAAAAGGCTACACTGGCAAACAGTGCACAAACGCCCATAAGAGAGTTGAACCCAGAGCAGGGTTGCGTACAAACCTGTATCTATCATGCACGGGGTTCAAATAATGTGTGCAAGTACGTCACGTGATATGAAGTTCTGCCGCCGCGGAGTCGCAGACCCCATAGCTGGAGTTAAGGCAAAAATTAAAATTTCACCAGTTGTAGTCTTCGGGGTGCTGAGTCGAATGGTCTTGGTCCGAGAAAGCTGAGACGCTCCCTTCCTACTTGAATCCCAATCGAACTCGCGCACTTCCACCGAAACTGGATGACTGCGCCCTACGAGATGGGGATTTGTATGCAAAATGTCACTAAAAGCGCCGTTTCGTTCTTATAAAATCACGGATGACCGCGATTGGCCGATATGTTGTAGTCCTTTGGACGTTGAGTCGACTGGTTTTGGTCCGAAAAGGCTGCGATGCAGCGTTCCTCCTTTATTCCCAATCGAACATGGTTGAACAAGCGGTCACGTGCTCCTGCGTACACCAGTCACCTGGTCACCGTGCCTGCAGGGTACAACTTACTAGCCTGTTTGACCTTTTTTGGGTGCAGTCCTGTCACTCGAGTTGAACTCGAGTTGAACCTTGGTGTGAAAGTTGTCGCCTGCTGGCGTGGTGACCAGGTGATTTGGGCACCCAGGAGCACGTGACCACTTGTTCAACCATGTTCGATTGGGAATAAAGGAGGAACGCTGCATCGCAGCCTTTTCGGACCAAAACCAGTCGACTCAACGTCCAAAGGACTACAACATGCATACACAACAAGGACTACAACATGCATGCACAGTGCACAATCATGTTGATCGTATGCGTACTCATGGCTGCATGGCTAGCCAGCACCGTGACAGGGGCCGCTTGACCTCACACTGGATTTCCATGTCCACCATACACTAGTACATTTCTCACCACTATCTCCCAACTAGTACATGTACTGGGCTGCTAGTGAGTCAAGAGACATACTCTTATTGCGGATATCGGATCGTATTCAACACCATAGCAGCGGCAAAGTCAGCTACATCGTGTACCCAGACAACAATGTACAAGCACATAGATGCCAGAGTGCACTGATGTAAAAATATAATATTTTTCATTTCACTAACACCGACTTACTTACTTGCTACGCCATCCGCATCGCTCGTGGCTTCCTCTGCCGTGCCACTGAGTGACTCCTGAACGAACAGCAATGACTCCGGATGAAGGTCTGCACGCCGCAGTCGGCTAATAGATAGCGTGAGAATAGTACGTCTTGCACTTGTCCATATTCTGTCGCTCGCCAGCTTTGTGTCCGTCTCGATATTGGTGACAGTTTACAAAAAAATATTAATAATAACGAAGGCATGGTATGCAAACGCACTCATATCCAGTCTGCACTGCAGGTCGGTCGGTGTACGGATAGCCACAGAAGTCACAAACGATGTGACACGATGGACAGGTCCGAAGACCGAACTTTCGACGTTATCATGGTTATGTCAGAGGCCACTGCTAGCCATGCCAGTTCGCTTGGTGGCTGCTGGACTTCTTGACCGAAGTTGAACTCCATCTTCCAAAGTCAAAGACATACTGTGTTGACCTGCTACGTGTAACGACGTTGCCGTTTCAAGCTCGTTGCAAGCGTCTTGACTTCGTTGCTATACTTAGTTGTAGTACAGGTAACATAACTACATGTACTAACTTTACATAGCCGGTCTGGCGCCTATCGTACCTTTGTTCCCGACATGCTGACGCTTCGCTTGCATGTAAATTTTAGCTACCAGTAGCTCCTTCCAACCAAATCTTTTTCCGCAGCCAAGTCCTGAATAGCGAACACCAACCGCTGACCGCTGACTCGGTCTACATAGCCTTCGCTACTACTGCTTGCAAGTACTTGTAGGCTGGTACATACTAGTAGGTAAAAAGCAAATGCCAAAGGCGACAACTTTTCATCGGATAGACTCGTGACGTTGAAGAGAACCTGTTCCAGAACATACAACACAGCAACAACAAACCGTTGTTTCTGCACCACACAGCGCTATAGTGAGCATCATTCCTGATGTTTCAAATTTGGACTTCACGGAGAATTTCAAAGTTTCGGAGAGAAAAGAGCATTCCTGAGGTAGGTACAAGGTGATAATAAAAAATATTTAAAAAAACTGCGTACTGATGTAACACTGCATGCATGCACTGACGTGACAGTGCTGCCACTGCCAAAGCAGAGCCTACAAATCACACACTGACATGATATGCCTTGCAAAATGGAAGTCATTAGCGCCCCATTAGGCCAAGCGTTTTTTCTATGTTTTTCGTCACCCGATCGATAATCTAAAAATTAATCGTATGCGAGAGGTGGAAAAAATGACCAAAAAATAAAAATAAAAAGTTGACTAGTAGTAGTAATAATGGAAAAATGTCAAAATACAGCAATGTATATACAGAGCTACCGGTACAGCAAAAATCAAAGATCGAGAATCTCACGATATACGTGTGGAAAAAAATTAAATTCAGCAGAACAGGTGAAACACAGGGTGAAGGTGAAGAAACGACTAAAACATAATGAAAACATCAGTGACGAGAAGCACTCCTGACACTTTCACGAGGATTAGCGCTAAACAACTGCAGCGACAAAACATTTTCCTTCTGAACACATAGTTCAGGGGACAACTTACGGATATATAACGCTTCCAAAACAGACAAATGTAATACAGATCTGCCACGGGCCAAAACTGAGAAAACATCATCTCTGTACAACTCACGACAACTATCACTAACGGACAGATGACTCTTGATAGCCGATTGTTGACTGTTGGAATGTCGCGTCTAATAATAATCAGTTTACTGTAGACCTAATCATACTAAAATTAATTCTCTAAAATCGACCAATACACCGTGTAAAATAGCATCCAAAGTTAGTATAGCAACTACATGTATAATTATGTAGCTAGCTATTACTTATTAGTACTCGTGGTAGGAGCTTCTGTGCACCAGCAGCTACAATTTGTAGAGTGTGCAACAACAAAATACAGTAGTGCATCGCTAGCGACCTCGCATCATGTGTTGAGCTAGCAGTCCAGGTTGCACCTGTGAATGACTGGTAACCACAGTGCAGCACAGTTTTCATTTTTTTTCTTCCGGACTCGACCTCCTTGAATAATTAATAATTATTCATATGCGCGCGGCCGGGTGAGGCGAATCATAAAAATAAAAACGAGTGGCCTTATAACATTTTACTGGCCCAATCCTCAACACATAAGATCAATGATAGTTGATACCATCAGATTCTGTAGTTACGCCCCCCCCCCCCATTCTCTCTCTCTCTCTCTCTCTCTCTCTCTCTCTCTCTCTCTCTCTCTCTCTCTCTCTCTCGCCCGCGACAAGTCACCTTCAGAATACACAGCATAGACTGCTAGCACACATTACCACACAAGTACAGCACAGTAAGTGATTGTTGCCAAGGTATCCAGCACTCCTGGGTGCACAGCATACGAGTATTCAAGAGACTGAAATGTCACTGAATTCAAAATCATGATCTGCATCAACGGTGTAAAAAAGTAGCCATACAGAATTATTATAATGATTGACTTGAAAGGAGATAAAAGCATAACTAGGGAAAGGGCGGTCTACATAACAATGAGAAGTAAGTGAAAGAATGAGTGCAGCTGCATACCACTGGAATATGACAAAGACAACGGTGGATCAACAGCACGATGTCATTTCCACGTGCGTGTACATACTGGTTTATTAATAGCAGAATGACATTCACGGTCTTGAGTGCTACCACAGTGTGCAGGATGCTAGGGTGCAGCAGCAGGCACATTAGTGCACGCTGCTACGGCTATTGCCAGTCCATACATCTATCATGTAGGGTGTGATGGAATAACTGTGCACTATGCAAACAGCACAATATTGATATGCACACCATTCACCAAAATGCAGGAATCAGAGTCACTCTGAGAAGGAAATTGATTAAAAGAGGGGAGTAATTCCACAATGTCATTCAACGATCTTCAGGAATGGGGCTATGAAACGATAATTCAAGACTTTCCAAATCGTAATAATAGACGTACTGCTGCAGCACATACTACCTACGGCACAACAGTTTTATTTTGTAAGAATTAATAATATTCTGAAAGCAAATAGGCTGCGGGGGCGGGGAAAGAATCACTTGCCAAAATCAGAACATCTAGTAGATATGACACACAAGTACCACGCATAGCTGATAACTGTTAGCTGATTCCAAGACCGGGAACAACAGCAACATGGAGGCTAGCAAGAGCGCCCCGGTCTTGAGCAGGATCTCCACGTTAGCCTAACCAGCGCAGTGCAATACACAACTAGCAGGATCACCTCGTTAGCCTAACCAGTGCAGCGCAGTACACCACTACTACACTGTAGCAGCAACAGCACCATGCCAGACCAGTGTAGTGCACAGCTAGTCCTTGATTTCACCAACTTACTGATAATTTCGGTATACTCTATTGCAGTTCTCAAAGCTCCTCCAACTTGACAGTTTCAGTGTTCCAGCCTCTCTGATACATTACATGACAAAGAGAGAGTCTGACTTGGCAGCCGTGCTACGCCGAGTTGGCAAGCGTCTTCCTGTCGAACCGGGTGCTCGACGAAGTAGAGTATGTACCATTGATCCTGGTATTGGGTCCTGTTACCATAACAGACAGATGGATAGTTAGAGAGAGAGAGTGAGAGAGAGAGAGAGTGGGAGAGGCAGAGAGAGAGAGAGAGAGAGAGAGAGAGAGAGAGAGAGAGAGAGAGAGAGAGAGAGAGAGAGAGAGAGAGAGAGAGAGAGAGAGAGAGAGAGAGAGAGAGAGAGAGAGAGAGAGAGAGAGAGAGAGAGAGAGAGAGAGAGAGAGAGAGAGAGAGAGAGAGAGTGTCATGAATGTCACCACATCATGAAGACTACTTCATATCAATTTGAAGTTGCAAGTATAGACTCCCGCATTGCATGATCATATCGTAATTAATCAACAGACAGTCCAACTTGCCATAACATTTTATTATCATATTCCAAATACATTTGAGTTGGGACTTACGATGTCCAACGACGACTCTGATTACCCAGCTGATGGCACGCGTACATTGTGAATCCGAGTATTCCCAATGTCGCCTCCATCTCATCATATAATTATACTCTCCTGCATGTTTGTCTCTGCTGCTCATCACAAACTACTTAAATCTGAACTTGTTTTCTTCTTCTCTGAATGCACTCGTTGCTAGCTGCCGAGATTTGTTTTCTTGTAGTTGCATCATTGCATTCCGCATGATCCGCGCTTGCATGATGCACGCACGCACACACACACATACGGTTGTGGTTGGCAAGTTTTGATTATGGTTGAAGGTGAAGTTTTTAGAAAGGAAACTGTGGTATGAGAATGAGTCTGATGAGTCTGTCTTCCCCTACCGTTCTCGACATGGTGCTGTAGAGACCAGGATTTGGAACCAACGCGTCCAACAACTTTCGTTTTTTTACGATGGACGGAGAGGTTGAACAGACAACAACGAACGATGGAGAGGAGTCCTTGGATCAGACGACTGAGAAGCAAAGCACATCTCACGTCCTGGACCAAGTGGTTTACAACGACCTAGTCAAGAAGCGAGGCAGGGCCAAGGGAAGGGTGACGCGAGTAAGGAGGAGGATCGAACATGAACTCCGTAAAACGGAGGAGAAATTCGTTAGTCTGTTGTCACTTCAGAGTGATGTTGAGAAAATCCTACCCTTGATTGACACAGTGAACGACCTGTCCGAGCAGATTGGTACCCTGCTGGAGAACTGCGAGGCAGACGAGCGTGTGGAAGACGCACTAATTGATTTGGAAGCCTGGGATGATGGCTTTGACCACGAATGCACAAGTGTGTCGGACGCACGTGCACTACTCGACTATAGAGGGGTAGGGACACATTCACCAGTGGTGACGGAGCTTGCTGCAGAGGCAGCAACACCTCAGAAGGCCACCCGGCACGATACAACACAGGAGGTAGTGGTCGTGGACAGTGATGGGACGGACAGGCCCACGGGCGAACTGCTGGAATCAAAGGAATTGCCGGCAACAGGCACGGGCGACACGGAATCTGCTGCAGGCAGACTGGACAGCCCTAGCACGGCTGTGGAGGCAAGGCGTAGCACAATGTCCACAGGCACGGACATCAGTGCTACTACTCAGAACCCTGTGGCTCAGGCTCAGCATACGGATACAACACAGGCCCAGCCAACTGTCCCGGCACCAACCAATTCCCCGGACATGATACAGGCCATGGCATTAGCGGCAGCCCACGCTGCAACCGCGGCAGCTGGCCTCAGTACTGCCCCACAGCCATCACGCCTCAACGTCCAGCTGCCAAAGCTGACTCTACCGTCCTTTTCTGGCAAGGTGATTGAGTGGCCAGAGTTTTGGGAGCGATTCCAGTCTTCCATCGACAACCAGCCCATTGCGGATGTCAGCAAGTTCTCATACCTGAAATCTTGCCTTTCCGGCGATGCGGCGAAGGCCATAGCGGGCATCTCATTGACAAGTGCAAACTATACCACCGTCAAGGATCTGTTGAAGACGAAGTATGGTTCAGCGGAGATCATCATTGCATCCCTGTACAGCCGTTTGGAAGCACTACCGGCACCACCCAACAGGCCCATGGAGATCCATCGAAGTTTCGAAACTGTGGAGTGTCTCCTTCGACAGCTGGAAACACAGGGAGAGAAGTTGGCAGATCAACGTCTCCTGTGCCAAAAGCTGTGGGGCAAGGTTCCACTCGAGGTTGCCACCAAGTTTGAGGAGTGGCGTGGTATCAGCAACGCCGGCCAGCCCTGGAAACTAACCACTCTACGAGAGTATATGGCCAAGTACACAACTCTACAAGAGCAACTCCGCCAGCGGACTGGCCAAGGCCCTCCGAACAAACCTGACGCTGTTGGAGTGCAGCCAAAGCAACTCTTTAGCACAGCGGATGCACTGGCAGCTCACCCTGATACCCAAGGACGACCACAACGTTCCCGTCGTGGTTGCATATTCTGCGATGGCCAACATATGGACAACGATTGCTCACGCTACACATCTTCTGCTGCCAGGAAACAACGATTAATGGAGCTACGTCGTTGCTTTATTTGCTTGGGTTCCGGTCACCGCAGCCAGGAATGTTACCGACGGCAAACACAGACCTGCCGGATGTGCAAGCGCCCAAGTCACCATCACCATACCATCTTGAAGAGGAACTGTAACCGACTTGTTATAGTAACAATAGTCCTGCCAATACTTATTATAGTCTTTCTGCTAGTACTTCTATTCTGATAAGTGGTGTTAGTATTCTTGTTGTCTGGCTCTCCCAGAAGTGTTGTTGCCACAGACATATTTGTAGAAGTGCTGGAAGCCTACCAGTTATTAGATAGATGAGTCATGACCCGTTCATGCTGTGCACGTAATTCACTCTATCCTTTAGGTGTCTTGTTTCACCATGGACTGCTGTGTCCATTGTTCACCTGTCACGCTGCATGGCTTCTGTATCCCTACCTGGCTGTCTTTACTTTCATCCTCGCTCCCGCTGCTTGCTGACGATCTCCGAGTCACGCGAGGAGTTCCCTGTTAGTTTTTCCGGTCTTATCTCTGAGATAGGGGAGTCAGTCTACTGCCTGCTTGGAAGTGTTCAGATCATACATTCTATCTCTCTTTTTACAAACCTTTTCTAACCGAGAACTGGTGTTGTGGTTGATTGCGCATGCCAGAGCGTGAGGACTAGTTCGCGACTCGCCTTGAGTCGGTGTAGACTGCATAGTCTAGTAGTAGTTCCACTACAGCGTGGTGCCGAAACCCGGGACCGGGGGGCTGTGGCTGCACTGGTGTCTGTGTGCGGTCGGTAGTCGGTACTACTAGTGAGCGTATTCGCAGTCCGTGATGTCACTGAAGGCAGATAACTATCTGCGCGCATTCCGTGGAAAAGGTGAAGATTTCGGTACGTGGTGGCTGAAGTTTCTGGCACTGGCCGATATCTCTGGATGGGATGATGACGCCAAGAAGACGAAGTATATCCCATTGTTTCTCGATGGAGATGCGTTCCTGGTCTTTTCGAGGATGGCGGATGCGGACAAAAAGAAAGTAGATGAAGTAAAGGCCAAGCTATCGTCCGCCTTTGCAGTCACGCCTTCGCAGGCGTATGGCAAGTTCGTAAACAGGAAGCTCAAGGTCGACGAGTCCGTAGATGCGTACGTTGCAGACCTCCAGCGGCTGCTCGCGCTGTCTGGCCACGCAGCCGGTAGCGACACTGACTCAGTGGTGATCGAGCAGTTCATCGCTGGCCTGGGTGCAGAGTTCGCTCGCTCTGTGCGGATGTCCATGGCTGGCAAGACGCTGAAAATCAGCGAGTGCATTGAGCAGGTACGCGCACTGCGAACGGCTGCAGAAGCGTGTGGTGCTGTTTCCGAGGACGTTTCTGCCGCTGCTGGCCCAAGTGATCGCTCTGCCAGATCAAGTGCGACTGATCGCGGGACCGTGACCTGCTACTACTGCCACGAGGCTGGCCACATTCGTCGCAACTGCCCCAAGCGCAGCTCGAAGTCAGCCAAGACGCCCTTGAACTCTTACAAGGGGAATCAGGTGACATGCTACTTTTGTGACAAGCCTGGTCACACGAAACCCGATTGTCCTGACAGGAAAGCGTGGCTGGACTCGAAGAAGCGTCCTGCTGCTGGCGTTACGGAGCAGCAACCCGGACTTCCCAAAGGCGAGTGGGACCCCAGCGATCCCTGTCTGTGCACGGTGACAGCGCAGCGCGGCGGCCTACCGCGGGTCTTCGTGGAGGCACGCAAGAACAGTGTGAGTCATCATTCTGACGAGTGGCACCGTCTGCGATCAGTATTGGACACCGGTTCAACGCGTACGCTGATCGATAAGAAAACTGCAGAGCGAATAGGAAACTTCGATTCTGACAGTGCGTACTCTGAGAATCTGATTGCACTGGATGGGAAGTCGCTTGACGTATGCGGCACAGTGCAACTTCAACTGCGCAGACTGGATGGCCCAGTGCTGCTACCAGTAACCGTAGTGACAGCGGTGGTAGTGCGAGATTTGACTGCTGTATCGGCTAACATCCAGGTGGGCAATGACGTCGTGGTCGGTAATGGTGGCGTACAGCTTCGCTACGGGGAGGACAACTCCTTGAGTGCCGTGACGTTCGGTACGACGCCAGCAGCCGCGTGTACCACGGAGCCAAGTAAGGATTCGCGCCCATCTCCACATGTCAACGTGATCCGCGATGGTAAGGACGTCATCTTGCGGGTGAATGACGGCGAAGTGAGGTGGCACGCGGAGCAAGGCCACTGGAGCCTGAAGTGGTATTGGCAAGATGGTGTCGAGCCCTGCCACCGCATTGGTCCGAACATTGGAGAGTACTCCAGGAAGAAGCTGTCATCCAAACAGGAAGAGCAGTTTTGTGCTGAAGTTAAGAAGTGGATTGATGAAGGATGGCTGGTACGACACGATCCAGATGTCCATGGCGAACCAGCGGCGGTGCTCCCTCTTCTCGCTCAGGTGCAGGAGCACAAGGCTACAACTCCGGTGCGTCCCTGCTTGGACTACCGCTTTCTGAACGCCCAGCTCACGTCACAACCAGGCCAGGATGCCCCGGTGTGTGAAGACACGTTGCGAAAATGGCGGCAGG